TGTATTTTACATCATGATCTCTACAGTACACTTACATCCAGCATGTATTTACATCATGATCTCTACAGTACACTTACATCCAGCATGTATTTACATCATGATCTCTACGGTACACTTACATCCAGCATGTATTTACATCATGATCTCTACAGTACACTTACATCCAGCATGTATTTACATCATGATCTCTACAGTACACTTACATCCAGCATGTATTTACATCATGATCTCTACAGTACACTTACATCCAGCATGTATTTACATCATGATCTCTACAGTACACTACTTACATCCAGCATGTATGTTACATCATGATCTCTACAGTACACCCTACATCCAGCATGTATTTACATCATGATCTCTACAGTACACTTACATCCAGCATGTATTTACATCATGATCTCTACGGTACACTTACATCCAGCATGTACTTAAATCATGATCTCTACAGTACACTTACATCCAGCATGTATTTACATCATGATCTCTACAGTACACTTACATCCAGCATGTATTTACATCATGATCTCTACAGTACACTTACATCCAGCATGTATTTACATCATGATCTCTACAGTACACTTACATCCAGCATGTATTTACATCATGATCTCTACAGTACACTTACATCCAGCATGTATTTACATAATGATCTCTACAGTACACTTACATCTAGCATGTATTTACATCATGATCTCTACAGTACACTTACATCCAGCATGTATTTACATCATGATCTCTACAGTACACTTACATCCAGCATGTATTTACATCATGATCTCTACAGTACACTTACATCCAGCATGTATTTACATCATGATCTCTACAGTACACTTACATCCAGCATGTATTTACATCATGATCTCTACAGTACACTTACATCCAGCATGTATACACTTACATCCAGCATGTATGTACATCATGATCTCTACAGTACACTTACATCCAGCATGTATTTACATCATGATCTCTACAGTACACTTACATCCAGCATGTATTTACATCATGATCTCTACAGTACACTTACATCCAGCATGTATTTACATCATGATCTCTACAGTACACTTACATCCAGCATGTATTTACATCATGATCTCTACAGTACACTTACAGAGTTGTGATCCCTCACTGCAGTAGTTACAATCAACACAGAATCAATCAATACTGAGCAGATCAACCCTCAGTAACAGATGATAAACCAACTCTTTGTGTGGCCAATTTATGTGGTATTCAAGTACATTTGGTTAATTTCCAAATTATTAGCTGTCATTTTGGATGTCTAACATTTTCCTTCATTTGTCGTCACACTGAAGACCCGGGTTCGATTCCCCACATGGGTGCAATGTGTGAAGCCCATTTCTGGTGTCTCCCACCGTGATATTGCTGTAATATTGCTAAAAGCGGTGTAAAACTAAACTCACTCACTCACTCCTTCAGGTGTCATTTTTAAGTTGTACTGGGATGACATAATTAGTTTCTGTGAAACCATATTACCATATATTTACATCTGTGCATAAATTAAGCACCACCCTATATTTTCACCAATTAAGTTTGTCTGAAATTAACTTCTAAACTCTTTCCAAAAACATAACCTTTATAATTTGATAGAGCAAGCATTTAATATTTCAAAAACGAAAACATCATTGAAATTACCATGTACTTTAATTAGGATAATTGCCTATATTTGAACCAGGTGTTTTTCTTTCCTAAAACAAGTTAGCTTATTTTGAAAAGTGAAAGTAATAAGTGATTGTTGTGTGGCCTATAAATTTGTTATTTATTGTGAATGGATGAAAGTTTGTAAACTAAGATTTAGGAAAAGTTGGAGTCAAACTGAAAAAAGGAAAATTGTAAAATGCAGTATAAGTTGCTTTACAAACAAAACAAACATATTTTAGTTGTAATTATCAGTATCCGGCAAGGAGAAGTGTTTATTCATTACAATAAACTCAAAATCATAAAAGATTTATTCTAGAATCTTATTAATGTAGCCTTTTTCAGTTTTTGTCAGTTAGCAATCTGAATTGTTGGAAAAAGGTCTGAATCTTTGACATTTGGGTTCTTCCTGATTATGCATAATTAAAGCTTACTTGATGTGTAAATGTCATCTTTGTATATAACAGAATTGTTATTTTTAGTGTTGTTTGAGAAGGAGAGGAATAGTTATTTTGGGTGGTACTTAATTAATGCACAATATACACACGCACACACCCACACACGCACATACACACTCACCCTAACCCACCCCTATTTTGCAGTATTATTTTTCATGCCCAACCCCATCTTGTCACTAGCCAACCCCACTCCTGTCATCAATAACCTGTCTCTATATTTCTGTGCACATGTACTTGTTCTGTGGAGGTTGCTGCTGTCTCTCTATCCTGGGGCCTGTAGGGGTTGTGCCCCTCATGGCAGCCTGCTGTAGGACAGCTCCCCAGATACCTGTACTTGTTCTGTGGAGGTTGCTGCTGTCTCTCTATCCTGGGGCCTGTAGGGGTTGTGCCCCTCATGGCAGCCTGCTGTAGGACAGCTCCCCAGATACCTGTACTTGTTCTGTGGAGGTTGCTGCTGTCTCTCTATCCTGGGGCCTGTAGGGGTTGTGCCCCTCATGGCAGCCTGCTGTAGGACAGCTCCCCAGATACCTGTACTTGTTCTGTGGAGGTTGCTGCTGTCTCTCTATCCTGGGGCCTATAGGGGTTGTGCCCCTCATGGCAGCCAGCTGTAGGACAGCTCCCCACATACCTGTACTTGTTCTGTGGAGGTTGATGCTGTCTCTCTATCCTGGGGCCTATAGGGGTTGTTCCCCTCATGGCAGCCAGCTGTAGGACAGCTCCCCACATACCTGTACTTGTTCTGTGGAGGGTTGATGCTGTCTCTCTATCCTGGGGCCTATAGGGGTTGTTCCCCTCAATATTGCCAGCTGTAGGACAGCTCCCCCAGATACCTGTATTTGTTCTGTGGAGGTTTATGCTGTCTCTCTATCCTGGGGCCTGTAGGGGTTGTGCCCCTCATGGCAGTCCTGGCAGGACAGCTCCCCACATACCTGTACTTGTTCTGTGGAGGTTGCTGCTGTCTCTCTATCCTGGGGCCTGTAGGGGTTGTGTCCCCTCATGGCAGCCCGCTGTAGGACAGCTCCCCAGATACCTGTACTTGTTCTGTGGAGGTTGCAGCTGTCTCTCTATCCTGGGGCCTGTAGGGGTTGTTCCCCTCATGGCGCCCCGCTGTAGGACAGCTCCCCACATACCTGTACTTGTTCTGTGGAGGTTGCAGCTGTCTCTCTCCTGGGGGGCGGTGGGGTAGCCTAATGGTTAAAGCGTTGGCCTGTCACGCCGAAGACCCGGGTTTGATTCCCCACATGGGTACAATGTGTGAAGCCCATTTCTGGCTTGGGAATGAAATGTCAATGTATCCTGACAATATGGCACGCTCATAATATATATCACTGAATTTTCTGAAGTCATGTACGATGACGATATGTGTGTTGATCAAGTCAAGACTGAAAAACAAAACAAATCTAGTCAGCTATGGAATCAGCTTCAAGAAACCAATAACTGTTAGAGGAGAAAAAGGTTTTATGTACTTAAGATTTCACAGGCTGTGTAATGGTCTATATTGTCCAGACTATTCTCTGTTTTTGACAGGCAGCTGTCATACAGAGTGTGGTGTTAAACAACAAACAAACAGTTTTTAGACATAGTATGTATGTGTTATCAAGCGTGTGTTTATTTTGACTGGCAATATTTGATTATTCTGGTTTATCAATCCTGCTTGAAGTTTTACTACATAATTAACTGCCAATATTGTAAGTATTTCTGCCATCTGTTGTTTTCATGAAATTCGTTTTATTGATCAGCCAATCCTAAATGATGAAACTTGGAAATAAATTCTGAAATTGTGAGGTTTTTATTTATAAAACACACACACACACATGCACATTTTTTTTTTTACACACACATATGCATTGTCAAAAGTTGTTCATATAACACATTATTTTGCAAATATGACATGAGGTCCTCAACAAATATTGCACAGAAGGCAACATTATCTGATAACATTTTGAAGAGCAAGGATAATGAAATAAGAGTGTGGTTTATGTTTGAATAATATTTCTTGTAATATCTGTTAACCATAAACAAAAAACAGAACCTGACCATTTATGGATTATCTGTTCAAATGCTACTTTCTCAATTTCAGATTTTTCTGTTTTATAATTTACATAATGTACGGTATGTACAATTAGCTATTGTCTGTGTCAAAGTCCATAAACCATGTGATTTTTTCTTCCCAGTCCTTACTGTATTGCTTAGGCCTAACTGATACCCCAGTGATGGGGAATGCTGCTCATGCTTCCAGTTCCACTGTTGAGTGATATACTGTCTGACTGTGATACGGCTTGTATATCCCGGACTGGTGTTACAAATTTACTGACTGGAGGTCACTGGTTTGACCACAGTGTCATGATAAAATATGGTACTTGTTGTTGCACTGGCTAGCATTCTGAGGGATAAAAAAAGGACTGATTAGATGTTAATTTATTTATGCTCAGTATGTGTGGAATGAGCATTCATTCATTCATTCATTCATTCATTCATTCATTCATTCATTCATTCATTCATTCATTTTGCACCCGTAAAGATCCGGGTTAGAATCTTGATCTTCAGTAACCCATGCTTGTCGTAAGAGGCGACTAATGGGATCGGGTGGTCAGGCTTGCTGACTTGGTTGATACATGTCATCTGTTCCCAATGGTTTAGATCGATGCTCATGCTGTTGATCACTGGATTGTCTGGTCCAGACTCGATTATTTACATACCGCTGCCATATAGCTGGAATATTGCTGAGTGCAACGTAAAACTAAACTCACTCACTCACTCATTTTGCTTGATAATGTCAATCCCAAGTATTTTAACAGAACATTTTAACAAACTGTTTTCTTTTTTCTTTGGACCATGAATAGGACAAGGATATTTGTTATGTTCTCAACATTTCTAACCTTACAGCAGCCTGCCATTTTCGGGGAAGATCCGCCTGTTGGACGTAGGTAGCTGCTACAACCCCTTCGAGCAGTTTGAGGAGTTCCTTGCTATAGGCATCGATATAAGCCCAGCTAAACCTGTGAGTCGTTTTAGTAGGCCATAAAAAATTTATTGTCTTTCGAAAAATATATACATTACCATACTGACACCCAATTGAGTTAATCCAGTTTTTCAGTCAGGTCTGTTGACATCCTTTGCATTTTGGACACATTTTTTGATATAATAAATGCATAGAAATTTGTAAACTTTGCATGAATGTTCCCAGCTATGTTGTGAAAACATGCAGGCAGAATTCCAATCCAATTATTGGCATGCCCTCCACGGAAGCAGTAAATGTCATATTTTATCAGTTTCCAGCTATTTGTGAATGTATCAATATGAAATCATATATATGTGGTGCACAGATTAACATATACTTTCTCAGTATATTTTGATTCTTTTTCTTTGTTCAGCTCATTACCATTGGGCATATATATTTGGTGCGCAGATTAACATATACTTTCTCAGTATATTTTGATTCTTTTTTTCTTTGTTCAGCTCATTACCATTGGGCTTCATTTAGAATAATTCTCTTAAAGTGGCTACATTTTTCAGCTCACTTATATCATCTCTTATTTGTCCAGTGTCTAGCAGGTGTCAGGCATCATCCTTAAAACATCTGGGACGGTGGGGTAGCCTAGTGGTTAAAGCGTTCACTCACCACGCTGAAGACCCAGGTTCGCTTCCCCACATGGGTACAATGTGTGAAGCCATTTTCCCTGATATTGCTGGAATATTGCTAAAAGTGATGAAAAGTAAATTCACTCACTTAACACATCTGTACAGGAACCACTGAAACTATGGTAGTGAAACATCACAGACTGGTTCCCACCATGGATCACAAACCCAGTTTCTTAAGTGGTTCGAATTTCATACTTGAATATGGCGGCCATGTAGTGTTGTGTAGTTGGTAGTGAGAGCTGATGTTGACTGGGTTTTAGTACTTGTGCTGATGGTAAGATACATACAAATAGATTGTGTGTTCAAGCTCAGTGATGTAGTTAGATGATTGTACGTTATCTTTCATATACGACTTGGATCAGAGCTCACTGTATTGATCACTGGGTTATCTGATCCAGAGATGATTATTCAGACCTCCAAAATATGGCTGGAATATTGCAGAGAAGGGCATTTCACACCTAACTAATATGACTAATCAATTGTAATATGTTTAAGAAAATATTCAGATGAGCTACAGAGTGTAATGGCTCCATTGTTTGTCACTAGTCATCAGACTCAGTATGGTCCATGTCATGGTTAGGGTGACTGCAGTTACAAGACAGACAATACAAGAAAAATGTGGTAGTCTGTGTTTTGGGACAGGTATTCTTTAAACTTGTTCAGAAAAACGTTTAGAATTGGTTTAAAGTAATTCATTCATAGGAAGTAGTTTGTGAAATCATGAGCCTTGAAGATTAACAGCAGTCTCCACGGAGCTGTACAAAGTGCAGGGAAAGTGCTCTACATGTCATGGTCTTGCTTGTTGAAAATGTCCCACTTTGTGATTCTGTGAGTTTGTGAGTGAGTGAGTTTGGTTTACACCGCTTTTAGCAATATTCCAGCAATATCACGACGGGAGACACCAGAAATGGGCTTCACGCATTGTGCCCATGTGGGGAATAGAACCCGTGCCTTCGGTGAGACGAGCGAACACTTTAAACACTAGGCTACCCCACTGACCCTTGAAGAAAAGAGAAAACAATGTTAGGTTGCATCTATATTTGGTTTGAATTCATGTACTAGTAAAACTTGTAAGGACCACCTGATTCTTCAGTGTTACTATTGTAATCTGTCATGCCATTACAACTACGGTATATTTTAGCAGTATATTTGAAAATGTTGTCTTTCAGAGTGTCTACCACTGTGATTTCCTTCATCTGGAGATGACGGACCCATTGCAGGTTGCCATGGATACACTGGACACATATGTCAGCAACTTGCGGGACCCAATTGAGCGACTTCCTCACCAGATATTCCATGTTGTAGTGTTTTCGCTTCTTCTAGAGTACCTACCGTCCGCCTACCAGCGTTGGCTGTGCTGCCAGAAAGCGCACAGTCTGCTCATGCTGAACGGACTCCTCCTGATCGTCACCCCCGACTCGCATCAGCAGCATCGAAACGCTGCCATGATGAAAAGTTGGCGAGTGGCAATAGAATCCATGGGCTTTCAGAGGTGGCGTTACATCAAGCTAGACCACATACACTGCATGGCTTTCCGCAAGGTGGAGAAGCCGGACACTGGACACTGTTTACTGGAGGGCGTGTCTCCCGACATGCTGCACATTCCTCAAGACTACAACAATGCTGGACTGGAGACGAGTCTCTTCAGTCATTCAATGCCATTCGCTACAGAAGATGAAGACTTTTTTAGACAGTCTCTTCAAGAGCTGCCACATATTGCTTCGGACGATGAAGATTTTCTCTGAGTATATTTTATCAAATTCAACTGACCTAAAATAAATGTGTTATTGTCCTGATGAACCAGCTTTTAGAAGGGTCAGTTGGTATGCAAATGTTTATATTTATCAACATTTACTGGAGCTGGTAGATGTGTTAGCACAGTACAGAAACATTGGTGAGGAGGAAAAGAGAACATCGATAGTTCTTACGTATATGGTGAGGAGGAAAAGAGAACATCGATAGTTCTTACGTATATGGTGAGGAGGAAAAGAGAACATCGATCGATAGTTCTTACGTATATGGTGAGGAGGAAAAGAGAACATCGATCGATAGTTTTTACGTATATGGTGAGGAGGAAAAGAGAACATCGATAGTTCTTACGTATATGGTGAGGAGGAAAAGAGAACATCGATAGTTCTTACGTATATGGTGAGGAGGAAAGCGAGAACATCGATAGTTTTTACATATATGGTGAGGAGGAAAAGAGAAACATCGATAGTTTTACGTATATGGTGAGGAGGAAAAGAGAACATCGATAGTTTTTACGTATATGGTGAGGAGGAAAAGAGAACATCGATAGTTTTTACGTATATGGTGAGGAGGAAAAGAGAACATCGCTAGTTTTTATGTATATGGTGAGGAGGAAAAGAGAACATCGATAGTTTTTACGTATATGGTGAGGAGGAAAAGAGACCATCGCTAGTTTTACATTATATGGTGAGGAGGAAAAGAGAACATCGCTAGTTTTTACGTATATGGTGAGGAGGAAAAGAGAACATCGATAGTTTTACATGGTGAGGAGGAAAAGAGAACATCGAGTTTTACGTATATGTTTTAACTATGGTGCCTAGTCTGAGTCTAGTTTTTTTACATAAAAATTATTCAAGAAAATCAATCTTTCAATCCTGTTTCATTTTATGTATCTTGAATATTTTGTACATCTAGTCATGTCTATGAGTAAGGTAAGCACTGCTTGGTACCATAATACCTAATTCAGTGCTGTCGATTACCTAAACTATTGCTTCTGCATCAATTATATGGCACACAGATGAGCGGTGCCTGGTTCTCTTCATGTGATGGAAGTATAGATTTCCTTCAAAAACTGCTGTTCTGAAAACACAATTTTGTCTTATGTATACTATTTACAGGGTTAGTGTCGACCATGTTGATTTGCCAATGTGACCCAACAAGATAGAATACAGATAATGTGATAAGAGGTCAAATAAAAATAAGCAGAAATAAATAACAGAAATATTTTTTGGCGTGTGGGTTCAGATGAAAAGTACAAGTATAAAGAAAAACTCTATAAGCTAAATATATATGAAAGGTGTTAAGTTTAATTTAGAAGTTACAATGTGAAAGTCATAGTCAGACCATACAGTCATATATTTCCTTTTTGAACAGTTTTTCATTGAAATTTAACAGATATGTGTGGGATTTATGCTTTGTCATAACATATAATGCCTGCCTGTCTCATTTATGAGAGACCTGTGAAGATCCGGGTTAGAATTGATCTTCAGTAACCTGTGCTTGTTGTAAGAGGTGACTAATGGGATCGGATGGTCAGACTTGCTGACTTGGTTGACACATGTCATCGTATCCCAGTTTCATAGATTGATGCTCATGCTGTTGATCACTGGATTGTCTGGTCCGGACTCGATTATTTACAGAGCGCCCCCATAAAGGTTGAATATTGCTGTGTGCTGCACTGCTAAACTCAATCACTCACTCACTCACATTTATGGAGAGGGGTTACATAGTGAACAAATACAACAGTTCATTGCATTAATTATAACTGCAGATTCCTATGTTATATTTTAATGCTTTTTTATATTTTTTTTATTTGGTCAACATCTATAAATTATTTACAGCAAACATATATATTTTATCAAAGCAATCACAAATGGCGAGGTTTTACTTTTGAAAATCGCTGGTAATGTCAGTATCAGTGACATTGGATTCTATATTACAATTACATACATTCCATGTAATGAACAGAGCCTGTCAGTCTGTAGCTAGAGTGTTAAGAACAGACCGCCATAGGTACTGGGCACCTGTCTACAGACACCTATGAGGGGGATCGGTTTTGTTAAACCTTCAAATATCTTGTGCTTAATATCATTCATGTATGTCAAATTGTGTGTGATAAAATGTTCAGAGAACGTAAAAGATATAAATGTCTAAAAGGTGGACCCAACTGTGTAGATTGATGTTCATGCTGTTGATCACTGGATTGTCTGGTCCAGACTCGATTATTTTCCATATAGCTGGAATATTGCTGAGTGCAGCCTAAAACTAAGCTCACTCGCTCACTGTAGGCTGGAATAATTTTGTTTCCAGCTGGAAGGTAAACTGCAGTACCTGTTCTACTCTGACCAATCCATTTATTTCAAAATGCATATCAGTAGGTTTTGGTCGGTTAGAATTACAAAAGTTGAATTAGAGTTGATAGGCTTATATACTTACATGGGGAGAAGTTATTTGGGTAAACGCTTGAAAGGGAGTTGTTTGTTGCCGTCAGAGATGATATACTGAGTGAAAACAAATAATGACAGTTTTATTTGAAATAATTATTTCTGCTCTTTCGTCAAATATAGCTTGTAGACTCATGCTCACACACATGCAAGGTGTTCTTGTATGCACTGCAAGAAATGGCCAGGAAAGCAGTCAGATGTTGAGATCCTATATACTAGTCCATATATCACAGATCTGAATAAGCCTCTGTGACAGGTCTACACACCTCAAAGACACACCTGTCACAGCACTTGGTTTCCACGTACGTCTAGTACTTGTTTCATTTAGTTGAACCTGACATTCTCTTGAGATTTAGCTTAAGCTGTCTCTAAACTCTATTTACTGTTCTTAGACTATAACAAGTATTAAAATGTGATAAAGATTTTGTATGGAGTGAGTGAGTGACTGCCTGTCCACAGTATCAGTAATCTCAAGCTCATCACATCTAAAGCTTCATTTGATATTCTACCCTATCTCCATTTCATTTCCAATCTGAATAATTAAACTGGTCATTATAATCAAATCATGTTTTATGTGTTACAGTAACTTTCTCCCTCCCTGGATTATTTATACACTAGGAAAGATCCCGCCTCTCACGATGGCATGTCATTACAATCCAACGATGACTTGACGACCACAAGCCGCATTGTTATGCTTCATCATTGTACATACATGTACGCTTAACACTACAAAATTAATGTCCAATGAGATGCTTAAAATAATGATAATGCTGAATTAAGGACATATAAATTGAAATTGTTATTGAAAATTGACTGGGAAGTAGGTTTTTAGTAGCAGTTAGTAGCTGAGTAGAGGCTTGATTATGCGTGTGGATATTTGATGATGCGTGGACTACTTTATGTACTCCATTGAAGGACATGATGGGACAGTCATGTGCAGCTTCATGGCTTCACTTGTTTTAATTTAATCCACATTCTTGTAAAAACTTGACCATGCAGATCTCAACCCTGGTCATTTGGTCATTATCATCATTGAAGTTGCCGATATTTCCGTGAATAAGTTATTTCAGTTTTTTGTTTCTATAAGATTGTAATTGTGATGGTTATCTTGCTTTGTGCTTCCGTATTTTTGTAAATATTTTGCGAATGTTGAAGCAATATCCTTGACCTTCCATGGCATCCCAGGTGTGGAATGCTGAAGAGATGGGTGGCAAGGAGTAAGAACAGTGTTAGCCATGCAGCTGTGTAAGTTTGATCTCAATTAACATTGTCCCTGTTTCCACATGAGGTGTGATGTAATACCAAACATAATGGTTGTTGGGCTAAAGACAAAAATATTGGTTGTGAAACACCACTGCTGAAACAATGTCTCTGCTATTAGGCAAATACAAACATACAAACCAATCAGCAAGGGTTCACGTAAAACAATGGCATGATTAATAAAGTGTTGAAAGAAATTGTTTATGCTAGCAAAGCAAATTGTATTTTGTCAGAAACAAGGCAATCTGGAAGATGTTTATGACTTTGAACTTTGATGATGTTAGATGTTTTATACCTGAAGAATCAGATCAACAAACAAGATCCATCTAGGTGCTTCAACTTTCAAAATAAAGCCTTGCAGCTCCCATTTTCGTATTTTGGACCAAAGATTAGGAACTCTTTTGTGCTGAATATCAGGCTTTCTTCTTCACTCCGAGTCCTCTAACTTCACCGTCATCTTTGTCGCCGTTATCATCGCCATTGTTTCCATAGTGGAACATCTCACTGTTATGTTTGTGTAGGGTCTATGCTAATTTAATGAGTTTATTTTAAGGATATATTTATTCTTAAGTTTAGTATTATTGCATGCTGGTTAATGCTTGAGGTCTGATGCATGTGTTCAACTCTGGTGTGAGTCAAGATCTTTCCTGAAACAACAGTCCCATGGGCACTTCAGTTTAGAGGGGCCTCTTATACCCTGTGCTGTTACGATGATGACAGAAATGACATCTCAATAAATCAGCAGGAAGCAACAGTGTGTAGTTTCAAGTCTATATCATAGATTTACATCACCCACTCATACCGTTCAATGAAATTCAATCACATTGCTGCGTGACATACTGTGAAACCTGAATTGGGAGAACAGGTGTTGTGGATGCCGCAATTTGCAGTGGAGAGTTGCATCCCTTAGGAAACATACCACGATTATGGGTTCCATTCCCCGTCACTCTGACTACGTTACCACGCTCAACTGCCCAGACCCATGATCCTGGGGGGGCGGTGGGGTAGCCTAGTGGTTAAAGCATTGGCTCATCACGCCGAAGACCCGGGTTCGATTCCCCACATGGGCACAATGTGTTAAGCCCATTTCTGGTGTCCCCGGACGTGATATTGCTGGAATATTGCTAAAAGCGGCGTAAAACTAAACTCAGTCAGTCAGTCATGATCCTGGGTATCACAAATGTGATGTACATCTAAGAACTGATTCACTTCGGCCCCTCTTGAAATTAAGCTGACCAGCTGTTACATAGCTGAAATACTGTTCATGGCAGCATACCAGAGTCACTCACCCGCTCAATACATTCGTGTTTGCTGTTCATAAGTGATCAGCCATTCAAACCTTTGAAGTGACAGAATGTCTGCTCATTCCCCATTATTTAGGTGGATGGTCCTATCAATCTTTGGTATAAGTGTTTAACTCCTGTCAAGGTCAAATACTCTTGTAATATTTTCCCTCAGACTGCTTACAGCGAAAATATAGTGTATTGTTTGATCGACATTCTAGAAGTTGATGAGTCAAAAATGAAGCATACAACTTTATGGATGCCAACTTCTTGTTTAAGTATGTTTCAATACAGTGTATATTATTACTCTTTCAGAGATTTATTGACGGACTGGCAATTTATTCAATGATTTAAGTTTTGAAAAGCTTCCCCATCTGTAATCAAAAGATGATAATGTGATCTTTGCTGTAATTCTTCAAAAGTATAGCATTTATTGTTTGATGATTTGGGGAAGATATTTAGAGTTTTTATTATATCTAAGAAAACTTCAAAATGTCCTCCATGGGAGTGATTAGAAGCGTGTTATTATGTATGACATCTGGAGATACTGCTAATAACTATTGAAATCAGTTTCAAAGTACTAGTAATTCATCTTAAGTATTGTTTTGTTTTATTAATTCCAGATTGCCTCCATTAGTGCGTGCTTAGATGTCTCAATGCTTCTTTTCACTG